ATATTTTTAAAATCTTAGATTTATAGCAAGGCAGATCTCATGTATTCTTTCCTTGCTTCCTAATGCAGCAAATTCCTGATGAATATATCCGGAATATTGTGTTGGCTGCTATGGGTATTGTGATAAGCAGAAAATATAAAGTTTGATTTGAGTAGTGTAGTAAAAATAGTCACTTCTTAAGAGCTGGTAAAAACTATTATTTAATGTTCCTGAGACATACTTATTATAACTAAGAGTATAATTTATAAAATATATAACATTCAGCTGTCTACAGAATGGATCTGATCACAGAAGGCCATCTACTATGAAAAGAATATTTCTGGGGCCGGCCCCATGGCCGAGGGGTTAAGTTTGCGTGCCCTGCTTCAGCAGCCCAGGGTTTTGCAGGTTTAGATCCTGGGTGCAGACATGGCACCACTCATCAAGCCATGCTGAGGTGGCGTCCCACATAGCACAACCAGAAGGACCTACAACTAACATATACAACTATGTACTGGGGGGCTTTGGGGAGAAGAGCAAAAAAAAAAAAAAGAAGAAGATTGGTAATAGATGTTAGCTCAGGTGCCAATCTTTAAAAAAAAAAAAAAGAATATTTCTTTGTAGATGCATTTATATTGTCAGTCATTTTTTTGTGTTTCTGTTTTCATAAGCATTATTGACTTATTTCTCTCCAGTGGGTCTTTCTAGGCTCAGGTAGGTTAACAAGCCCTGTTATATTCAGAATGGTTTCATTCCTGCCACACTTTTAACTGTCATGCTGTGTTTCCCTGTCTCCTTCTGTTTTCCTTGCTTGTCCTCGATCATGCAGTGCTGATACCAGATTTACAGAACATATGGGTGAATCATTCCTTTGACATACAGGTGTGGTGCAAAGACTTCTGCTGGGACCTTCTGTGGCTGTGACCTGGTGAACTGGCTAATTGAAGTTGGCCTCGCCTCTGACCGTGGTGAAGCTGTGATATATGGAGACAGACTGGTGCAAGGGGGAGTCATCCAACATATCACCAACGAATATGAATTTCGGGATGAGTACTTGTTTTACAGATTTCTTCAAAAGAGTCCTGAACAGAGTCCTGCTATTAATGCAAGCACCCCCCAACAGGAAAGATACCAAAAAATTGAGCCTTCATCCCCATCCCCTAACACCTAAATTATGAAGGAGACAACTCCACACGGAGTCATAGTCTAGCCCCAGATCTGTTACTTATTAGCTGTGTGACCTTGGGTAAACCACAAGCTCTCTGAGCCTCAGTTGCCTCTTCTGTAAAATTTGACAAGATGTGTTCCCACCCTGTGCTAACATTCTGTGATTTTATGTGTATGTAAAACACACAGGAAACTGACAGGAAAAAGAGAAAACCAAAACAGAATTTAAAGTTCTGATAATCAATATAATAATTACTCTAAATTATGCCAACATTTTAAAACATTGCTCCCTGCAACTGTTTGCTACAATTTCAAAATCACTATCTAATTTACTATTCCTTTAAATTGCCAAATTTGGCAGATGTACTACTGGCAGGAAATGGACCTTAAATTATGATAACTTTGCACTTATTGATAGCACCTCCTAAAAAAGAATTTTAACAATTCTCATAAGAGGCATTCTTATTCTGTTTTTCCCATTTCCTTGACAAGTAGTGCTCATTAAAAGCTAGAAGCAGGATTTTTTTAAGGTTCATTTTGTCTTGCTTTTCTATCCAAAGTACTAATCTGTGCCATTAGGAGGGGAATAAGAACCTCCATAAATATTATTATTTCCAAAATCCATCAACAGAAGTCTAGTCTCATCTTTAACTTTTGTACTAAAAATAACAATTTGAGCAGATTCATTTAAATTTTATCAACAAAATTACTGCCATGTGATGTATCATTTCGGGTGTTTGCAGAAAGCATGACCTTGCAGAAGGAGAACTCGACTACCTGATTCCCTGCAATTAAAAAGAAGAAAAAAACTATATAGTTCAAGCCAAGATTTTAAAACTCTAAGCCTAACATCCTGCTTTTACATTTAGAATTTAATGTTTTTTAAGTGTCCATGTATAAAAATTTATATATTTGAAAATCACTAAATGTTGCCCTCAGATAAGCTTTATCTTCAGTAAATCACATGACCTTTGAACTTCCACTTAATTCTTAGGTGTCAGTGCTGGTTTAACTTATTTGAAAAATGTTTTAAGTATTTATTTATCTCATACTTTTAGTGTCTCATATGTAAAAGCCATTTAGAAAATAATGTATAGGGTTAAGTCATTGCCCTTTTAATGCAACAAATACATAATTTTTTTTAAAACCTGCATGGAAGCCTAGTGTATTTAACAAGTAAATTATGCTTTGTGTGTAGTATTAGCTTGTACCAATTTTAAGTTACGATAAGGGAATGAGGATGCTTTCAGCAGAACTGTCTTGCTGCGGCACTTTGTTTTAACATGTCCACACTGTAACTCTCATTATGATGCTCAGAAGTCAGCATAAAGCCTCGTTGCTGTACCAGGAGACCTTCCGAGTTACAGCAACAGAGACATTGATTCACATGCATGCAGGCACCTCAGACTCAAGTGGAGAGAGTGTTTCATTTGTGAACAAGTCACACTACACACGTCCTGTTATGTGCATGAAGGGAATCGGAACATCTTTTCCCATGGGAAACACTAAAAGAAAACCCTAGATCAGAATGATCTGCAGTTTCAGATAATGAAGGCTTTTAAGAGATGTTTTTAGGATTAAGAATATGGTAATTTTATCAAATGAAAAGATTTGTAACTTTTACTCCTCTTGACAAAGCAAGTTTCCTCAATAAAATACCTATTTTAACTTGCCAATGTCTTGTCTTTGAATGATGTGACAATGCAGAAGCCATCCTAGAGGCCTTATGTATAAGTTTTCAGTGTTTTCTTAAATGAGTCTCCTCAGATTGTTCTGTTCTTCATGACCCTATGGGATCTGTGCACAGGCCTTTGCCTAATAATGCACTCAGCAAACACTTTTTACTAATGAGTCATAACATTGAAGTCCTTTTCACATATTGCATACTTTTTAAAATGCAGGGTCACAGCTGGGAAAATTATCTGATACAATTTTGATTAAAATCTCCTTTTATACTGTCTTCAGCATGGCCAGTTGTTTGTTGTCAATGAGAAATTCCACACCTAATTTGCACTTAAATTTCAATATTTCTAGAATAAGGTTAAAAGCATGCTTGGCATTTTAAGAATAACAATTAATGATCAGTAAGTTTCTAAAAGCAAGAAAAATGTAAAACTGTTATTCTACATGTTTGCTGTGCAGCAGAATACAGCTCTTAGTTTTCACTCCTTCATATCTTATATCATGTAAAACATTCAATTACTTGAGACCTCTGGACATAGGTAGTTAAGTGATGAGTGACGGTTAGAAACACAGTTCAGGATAAGAAATATTACCATCATTCTTCAGGAAAACACAGGATGATAAATTGCTGCAATTGGTATGATAATAAAAGCCCCAAGTAGTTAATTAATTAGAGAAAACAGTTACTCTGTAGAAGTTGTTTTTGGCAAATTTTACAAGTAGGAACTAAATTTCCAAAATTCTAGTCTACATAATTATTTCCAGGGCAAAATTTTTGGTTAAAGATTAATATATAAATTGATGTTTTCATCAAAGATAAAAACAAACTAGCCTTCTCTAAAATACTCAGTTTATTAGATTATTCCATTGGTTTATCATATAATGGTAAATAATAAACCACATCATTTAAGGGTTGACCAAAAAAAAGCCTAATTTCAGCTACTATATTTTTTACTCTTAAGAAACATGAAATTTAAGAAAACCTTAAATTTTCTAAAATATACCACAAGGCATTAGTTACGCAAGTACCAAAGCCCAGATACCACAGTGGATATATAGAGTGAAAGTCTCCCAAACTGTTTTAGAAATTAATTCACATATCCTTATAATAATCCTGTCTTTATCCAGGGAGTTACTATTCCCTTTTTGGATATGGAAAAAGGCAACAGGTTAACCTGAGACTTATCCGTGGCTACCAAGTTGGACAGATAGATTATCTAGCTAATGTTCTCAACTTTATAGGCAGAGAAGAGAACTGTGTAAATTCTTCCCGTCAGTACTTGAATGTTCATTTAACAGATATTTATTGAGCATCTAGCTTGTGCCAGACACAATGTTGAACACTGAGCACACAACAGTGGGAACAAATATGGTTTCTATCCTCATAAAGATTCTGTTCTACTGTCAGACAGACGTTAAACATATAATTACCCTTGTGATCAGGATCACATGTGGCTCTGAGAGTATGTGACAAGAAACTTGACCTTGTGGTGTGGGGAAAACTTCCCTGGGGATGTCATGTTTCAGCAAAACTGTAAAGGATGAAAAGAGCAACTGAGATGAAGAGGAGCACACGGAATGAATGGTGCAAGCAGAGGGTACAGCCATGATGAAGGAATTGGGAACATTCAAGGAGTTGAAAGAGCAGCAAAGTAGAAACTTAAAACACAATGGCGACAGTATAATAAGATACAGATGGAGGCACATCAGCAGGATCTTATTAGCAGTTGTTAAGCATTAGGACTTATCTCAATAAGTCTTAAAAGAATCTTACACTCTATGACAGGAAAATGAACAACCTGATTTAAAAATGAGTAAACGATCTGAACAGATACCTCACCAAAGAAGATATACATATAGCAAATAAGCATATTAAAAGATGCTCTGTATCCTATGTCATCAGGGAAATGCAAATTAAAACAATGAGATACCCCTACACACCTATTAGAATGGCCAAAATCTAGAACACTGATACCACCAAATGCTGGCAAGGATGTGGAGCAGTAGAACTCTCATTCCTTGCTGGTGGAATGCAAAATGGTAGTCACTTTGGAAGACAGTTTGGCAGTTTCTAACAAAACTAAACATACTTCTACCATACCATTTAGCACTCATGCTTCTGAGTATTACCCAAATGAATTGAAACCTGTCTACACAAAAATCTGCACACAGATGTTTATAGCAGCTTTATTCATAATTGCCAAAACATGGATGCAACCAAGATGTCCTTCAGTAGTGGATATCAGCAACCAAGATATCCAGACAATGAAATATTAATCAGCACTAAAAAGAAATGAGCTATCAAGCCATAAAAAGACATGGAGGAACCTTAAATCCATATTACTAAGTAAGTTAAAGAGCCAATCTGAAAAGACTACATACTGTATGATTCCAAATATATGATGTTCTGGAAAAGGCAAAACTATGAAGACAATAAAAAGATCAGTGGTTGCCAGAGTTAGGGGGAGGGATGAATAGATGGAGCACAGAACATTTTTAGGGCAGTAAAACTGTTCCATACAATACTATAACAGTGGATACATGTCGTTATACATTTGTCCAAACCCATAGAGTGTACAATGAGTGAGCCCTAATGTAAACTAAGGATCTTGGGTGATAATGATGAGTCAATGTATGTTCAACAATTGTAGCAAAGATACTTCTCTGGTGTGGGATGTTGATAGTAGGGGGGCGTGGGACAGGGTACATGGGAACGCTGTACTTTCTGCTCAATTTTGCTCTAAACCTAAAACTGCTCTAAAAGATAAAGTCTACTTAAGAAAAAAAGTTTTAGGAGGGAAATTCATGGTCAGATTTAAGTTTGTAATAGATCACTCTGGCTGCAGTGACTCACGTGGATGGAGATAAAGAACAAAAACGGGTGTCGAACAGTTAACTGCAGTGGTCCCGGTGAGAGATGGTGCTAGTCTGGTCTAGGATGGAGTTGAAGGAGAAAGTGGAAACATGCTGGCCCTACAGAGAGAAATAAGATTCAAGTATGTATCCCTGGATAAATCAATGAACAGCTTACCCTTAGTTTCCTCATATCTTCAAAAAGAGAGAGAGGGGAGGTGTACGGAGGTTGGCGAAGAGTCTTCATGATTTAGGGAGAACCTATCACTGAACCATACGAAAGGCAAACACACAATCAACTGAGTACTTGAGACAGAGATCTTTTCTTTTATAATGGCAGCCCTCTATCAGACAAGAGCAATAGCAGGCAGATTATGGTTTTTATGAGAGAACTTTAAAAAGACTAATTTCCTGGGTACTCTTTAAATATAATGATCTTCTACTTTAGTAATAATCCTAATTGCAAATGATAGTAACCAATAAATATGACAATGTAATAAAATACTTACGATGGACATTTCTAGAAACTAATAAATACAAAGTGTTATTTTGAGTTGGATTTTTCTTTTGTTTATATTTGCAACTTTGAGCCTTACTTGGTAATCTCTATGTAACTTCAACAAAGTTTTATAAACTTTGGGCAGATATTATCGCTCATTTATGATGTTCATAATACACTAATAATTCTATTTCATTGCCACCATCTTATTGCTATTCCTGTTTTCACTGAGTGAACAGAAGTAAAAGATGAGAGAGATCTGAGACACAGAAACGGTATCGCCCAAGGTCTTGGTTCCCTTATCCCATTTCCTAATCTCCCAGACAAGCTCTTCTAAAAATATTAACATAAAAGCCGATTAAGGGGCATGGCCAAAGAAAAGGCTAGATAATTAGAGCCAAAAGCTCACTGGTCAGCCAAGTCTTGACCAAGAGCATGTTTGAGTTTAACAAAAGTGCATTTGCAGAATTAATACACTGTAATGACTTTTTGTGTAAATCTAGAAAATTTTGTTTGAACTGGTTAATATTTGCCTAAAGCACAAAAAACTCAATACTTGAGATAATATTTTCCATTACTAAAAAAAAATCTACTTTGTTGTAATTGAGAAAATTATTTGAGGATACTACATAATTATAATAAACATAAATCCATGCATTATTTTAATGTTTCATGCTTTATGCAGAATTGAATATTTATTCTGATTCTAAAAAAGGTATTGTAGCTAAAAAAAAATAACACAAGTTGGTACCTGAAGTAACACCTGGCTATCCCACGATAAATGTGTCCAATTTCAACGTTATTTTCTTTCTCAGTATTTCAGCAAGGTTATATATAGTTTTAATAGTCAAACTATCATTTGAATGCTATTTAAAAATAATCAGATCTGCTCCAAATAGGTTTATATCATTTACCAAGATGATACATTCTGGGGCCAGCCCCATGGCCAAGTGGTTAAGTTCATGTGCTCTGTTTTGGCGGCCCAGGATTTGCCAGTTCGGATCCTGGGCGTGGAACTATGCACCACTCATCAAGCCATGCTGCAGTGGCATCCCACAGAGAAGAACCAGAATGACTTACAACTAGGATATACAACTATGTACTGGCGCTTTGGGGAGGAAAAAAAAAGAAGATTGGCAACAGATGTTAGTTCAGGGCCAATCTCTCCTCACCAAAAAAAAAAGATAGATTCTGACTTTGAGGAAAACTGCTGACCATTTATATGATCTAAGAACTAATATTTGACTTATAAATTCTAATCTCATCTTTTGTACACTGAGGAAAGAGATTAACAATTTTATCCACATCAAGATGCTTGTTTTGCAGGACTGATTCCATCTCTTTGAATAGTTCTTTCTCCAGTTTCTTCATGTTGTCCAACATTGTTTTGGCTTTTTCCTGAACAATTCAAAAATAAAAATAAATAAGCACACACTCACACACACAAGTCTAATGCAAATTCCAACCCACCTCTGCAGACAAGGTTTGTCCACTCTGGTTTCTACTTCTGATTTGCCTCGCCTCCTCCTATTCCTCAGATATAGAAGGAAAGAAATTCTTTGGGAAAATCATTGTTCCAGATTGAATTAATGTATTAACCCAAAACTATTAGTTATTTTAGTAGAAAAAACAAGAATAGTTATGTAGGATTAATCTATAAGCAAGAAACCTAAAAGACAAATAATGAGGCAATTGAAAATCTGGTATTAATTGTATATGGGGAAGGTTACTGAAAATTGAGGCTGAGATAGGTTTATAAATTTGGGTCTTCTATATTTAAAACCAATATTATCAGATAAAACAAAGCAAACAGAAGAGTAATATTCAAGGGAAAGAGCAACTAAAAGAAAAGACATTTTTTCTATGATTCCCCTTGTTTCAAGAAAGGAGCCAAAAGGTCATAACTCTTGGGGCTGGCCTGTCGTGGTTAAGCTCATGTCCTCCACTTTGGTGACCCAGGGTTTGCAGGTTCAGATCCTGGGCGCAGACCTACACACTGCTCATCAAGCCATGCTGTGGTGGCATCCCACATACAAAATAGAGGAAGATTGGCACAGACGTTAGCTCAGCAACAATTTTCCTCAAACAAAAAGAGGAAGATTGGCAATGGATATTAGCTCAGGGCCAATCTTCCTCACCAAATAAATACATAAATAAGTTATGACTTTTACAGAAAGGAGTAATTTTGAAGTTATTGATAAATTACCATGATCAGTTATAGGTAGGTACTGAGAGAAAAAGTATATAAGAAAGTTACCAGAAAGTGAGCATAATTTTTAAAATTTGAACCACTATGGGGCAGACCTCCACAAAACAAAGATTCTTAACCTTAACATGGACTTCAATATGAAATTGTATGCATTGTTTTCTGAAGAAACACTGCATTTCATATCAGTGGAGAAAAAAAATGGATTTTTGTCTATAAATGGTATTGGAATAATTGGTCACCTCTTTGGAAAACAGAGTTAGAATCCCTACTTCATGACATACACAAAAGTAAATTCCAGATGAATTAAAAAACTAAGTATTTTTTCAAACACACACATACATACTGGAAGAAAATACAGAAGTTACATTTACTTTGAGGTGAGGCAGGCCTTTTGAAGCATGAAATCAAGACGCCTTAAAGAAAAGACTACCAAATGGAACTGACAATTTAAAATTTTTGTCTGACAAAAAAGTTTAACAATAAACTGAGATTAAAAACTTGCAATATAACAAAGAGTTAATAATATTCACATACTTTTGCCTCTTTGAGGCAAAAAAGAAAAACAGCCAAGAATCAATTGAAAATAGGCTAAGGAAAAGAATAGGCAAGTCATTTAAAGGGAAAGAAATACTGGGCCAGCCTGGTGGCGCAGCAGTTAAGTTCACACGTTCTGCTTCTCGGCGGCCAGTTTGGATCCCAGGTGCAGACATGGCACTGCTTCACAAAAGCCATGCTGTGGCAGGCGTCCCACATATAAAAGTAGAGGAAGATGGGCACAGATGTTAGCTCAGGGCCAGCCTTCCTCAGCAAAAAGAGGAGGATTGGCAGTAGTTAGCTCAGGGCTAATCTTCCTCAAAAAAAAAAAACAAAATAAAAAATAAAGGGAAATACTAATGGCCAATAAACATATGAGAAGATTTTCAACCTTATTAGTAATCAAGAAATGTAAATTAAAACTACCAGTAGGATGATGATTGGATAAAGAAGATATGGTGTGTATATATATATACACACACACACATACACACTCACAATGGACTACTCCTCAGCCATAAAAAGAGACAAAATCATCCCATTTGCAACAACATGGATGGACCTTGAGGGTATTATGTTAAGCAAAATAAGCCAGACAGAGAAAGACAAACACCGTATGATTTCATTCCTGTGTGGAAGATAAACAAACACATGGACAAAGAGAACAGATTAATGGTTACCAGAGGGGAAGGGGGTTGAGGGGTGGGCATAAGGGGTAAAGGGGCACATTTATACGGTCACTGACAAATAATAACCTATAAATGAAGTTTCACAATGTTGTAAACTATTATGACCTCAATAAAAAAAATAATCCCTGCCCTCATAGGGCTTATACCCTGGTGAGGGGAAACAGAATGGAAACAAGTCAAGCAGTTAAATACATAGAATATTGTGCGTTGAAAAGTTCTGTGAAGAAAAATAAAGCAGGGTAGGTTGGAATTGGTTCCTATTAGTTGGAGAATATGCAAAATATATATAGACAGTCATTTTTCCATTCAAAACTCCCCGATGTATGAAAGCCACCTTTCGAATAAATACTCAATTATTTGGAAAAAAATAAACTACCAGTAGGATTGACTCTCCTAAGACATAAAAGTAGTTATTTACAGAGCCAGGACTAGAAGCCCAGCTCTTTGACACTTCTTCCCTCAAATTCTGTTGTCTTTCTACTACTTTATGTTGTCAATCAACATTTAATGCCTATTAAATAAAGCCTAAAATAGTAACAGCTTTTAAATTTTTCTTCCAATAGTACTTTGAAAATGTGAATCGGCAATTTAATTTCATTTAACATACATTTAATAAGTCTACAAAACCAACCTCCCAGAAACGATATTGAGGGGGAAAGGCGCTGCGAGTTCTGGAGAACTATCATAAGCAATGCAGGCAGTGTGGAGGCCGCCCAGGGAGGCGCGAGGGGGTCCCTCCAGAGCAGACACTCTTGGAACACATCACTCAAGAACTTGAGCAAATGTGAGAAGAACTAGAGGGCTCATCATTTTTCACAGCGCTCTGCTGAATTTGGAGGATAAACCAAGCCCAAGGAGTGAATGACACCTCTGACCCGGTGGATTGGGCCCTTGTCAGTACACTTAATGGACTCCTAGAACAAGACGCTTGCCTCTCCATGCCACCGGCTAAAAAAAGCATTTACACTGTAGGTCAAAGGTGAAAACAAACTGGTCCCAGATAAAGCAGGAGTAGTGTCAAGAATTCATAGCAAATAGGAGCTTTAAGCATGAGCAAGATGAGGGGAATGGCATGGCAACTATCTCAACAGACTACAGACAAAAGTAAATAAATAATTACCTGGAGAAAACTCACTTAATTCAGTTAACATAGAAAGAATGTAAAGGTATAGACCTTGATGAAGTAAAAGGAGCTACGGGCAATAAAAATCAGGAACTGATAGCAACAGGTGAGAAAAGGTAGGAAACGGCCAATCTTTTCCTCCATTGCAGGGAATCAATGGATGGTGCTGCAAAAAGCCTTTGGGTAGCCTTCCATTTCCTTCCAATCTATTGTTTTTCTTCTGGGTCAGAGAGGGAAGAGGGTGGGAGGGCTGAAGAGGTATGGGTATTATAAAATTATTTGTCCATCCATCTATCTATCTATCTGCCCCCCAAAAATCTATCTGCTTATTTCTGGAGATGAGATTTGGGGTGATGTTAACCTTCTATAATGCTTACATTTTAAAATAATAAGCACTTATCATTTTTTTAAAAATCCAACTCCTTAGTTATTATTAAGTCCATGGGGTGTTAAGTCACTTTCAATTAAAATTCTTCTGAGGCTGTATGATTTAGAACATTATGTAACAGACCATGTTTTGTAATTTTTAGTGTGACATATATACTAAGCAAGCTGGTTGAACTCTCCAAGTCTCAGATTCCTTATCAGTGAAGGGGGGATAATAACACTGACCTCATAGAGTGGTCGTGAAGATACAATGAAGTATTCCATGGAACAGTCCCACGGTGCTTGGTGTGTAATAAGTGCTCAATAAATGTTAGCTATTGATATTATATTAAATACGCTTCATTTCTCTAAAAGATTCATTACACATTCTTACCATTATTTTTAACCAAAAATAAAAATAACACAGTTCTATAGTCTAAGTATCTAAACTATTTTTAAACTTATTTTTATACAAAGAGAGGAAAAAAAGCTGAAATTCCAAAGTTCAAAATATGGGTTGAATCATATTTTAAACTATTCTTAATGATAAAACAGAGAATATAATCTAATCATACCTCATTATTATCTACTGCTCCCAATGCTTGTTGATGTTTTTGGTAGAGTGGGTGTCTTCTGTCAGGCTTACTCTTAAAATGTGGCTTCTTTTTAATTGGATCTTCAAGTTCAAATGTTGGTGAACTGGTGTCCAATAGTTGTGAAATATTCGGTACAAATATGAAAGGCTTAAAAACAGACCTAGAAGAAAAAGTCTTTATTAAATTAGCATATATTCAGCATTATTCTAAATCTTCTAAGATTACCTCTAGTAGAAGATTCGATTAAGTTGTTACACACTGATTTGTTCCATCATACAAGTTATACCCATGCCTGTCTTCCCTGCTACCCTGGGATCTCCTTTGGGGCAGGGGGCCATGCTTTATTTAGCCTTATGATTCCCATGGACCTAACAAAGGGCCTGGCGTATAAACAGTGTCAAGTGAAATTATTCTGTAAACTCCACACTTGGAAGGTAAGAACAATCTTCAATGTTACAGACTGAGGATTAGGATTTGAGATGAAAATCAGCAGCAGTATTAATAAAGGGGACACAAATTTCATTTCATTTTCTTGAAAAATCTTTAATATGAAAGACTATAACGCCAAGAGGTAATGAATATAAGACCATTTCTAAAGGTAATGTGCAATAAGTTTTGTAAGAGATATGAATGCCTTAAATCAAGATAGTCTATATGAATCCTACTTAAGATATAACTTGAAGTATTAATGTTTTAAGTTTTACCTGTATGTATTTTCTAGAAATGAGTGCATGCGTAACGATCTAAATCCAGCGCAACTACATCATTTAACCTTTTCACTAACTGTTATTAATCATGTCATACTGTAGTACTGAAATCTGCATAAGAAAACCTATCTACTTTCTTTCCTTGATAATGTTCAATATATTCGGAGAAAGAGGGAGTAGGGATAATGGCATACAAGAAACTATTAACATTTTCGTCCCACAAAAATGAGAATTGTGATGGCAGGTATGCACATATGGAAATGGCTGATTAAAACCTGAACAGAAATTGCATCCACAAATTATTGTGGTATTTGTGTAACAAAAATTTAGCCTGACAAAAATCATCAACAGACTAATGATTCTGTGCTACCCCCGACTCCTTACTGGTTTATAGTATTTTGTGACTTCACCTCTCAGGATCAGGAGTCCCTGTAAAGAAGTGAATGCAGGGAAGGCTGGAGTCTTGAGGTAAAATAGAAACCATGCTTGCAGTAGTCAGGAATGCTCCCTCCATATTAATGCCACTTGGTTTATCTCGGAGAATTTCCATCATTGTTTCAAAAGTTATGTTTCCTAGGGAAATAATTTGAAAAACCATCAAATACATATGAATTTGCAGGTCAGTATCCTGCAATTATGAACGCCTTCTCTACTGATAATACATAACATAAGATATTGGTCTAGGTATAAATTAAATAAGAGATTGACTATAAACAAACCTCGTATCATAACTGTAATTAGACTCAGTCCACTGTCGCAGGGAAGATATTTTTTTGAAATACAAAATATACAAAGTCTCAAAACCATTATAACATAAAGGTAAAATCTCTGTAACTTCCTAAGAGGAAAGAATCAATAATGCAAAAATATACTCAATCTCGTTGCCCTTACAAAATTTTTTAAGGTGTATTTAGTTAGCAACGAACTGATGATTTCAATAACTATTATCTGAGTCTATCCGCTCTGGAAACCAAATATTTAGAAAATATTGTGCTTAGTTTCCAATATTATACAAGATGCTCTTTACAGAATAACAAATTATTTTTCCTGTAATAATTTCTGTGTCTGAAATTAATACTCTTTTATGAATGTAAATTGTAACCTGCGTGGGAATGAAGGAGACGAAATAGACTATTGGTTAATGGAATTTGTAAGTGCACAGTTCTGCTGGACTACTTTAGAAGCTTAAATGTCCATTGTGTGATGAAAATAGATGATCTTATACTCTGCTTTCTGCTTCCAAGTGTAAAGTTTGATACTTTAAGATTTTTTTGAGAAAAATAGAAAAAAAATCTATTTTCTCTCTTTAGCAAACACAATATGTCCATGGTTACAGAGAGCATCAGAATTCCATATTTGGAAGGCATTTCCACCAGAAAATTTCAAAAGTCAATCATGCCTTTAGACAGCTCTGCTCCTTGCTGTGCATATCTGTAGTCAAAGATATGGCTCGAGATCTAACTACCTTGTGACAAGATGAATAATCTCACCCCTACACAATGCAGTCTTCCAAAAGTAGCCAAAACATCTTCTCACATGTCATAATTCTCTTCTCCAAAATCTATGATTCTCAATTCCTCCTGAATCAAATTAAAACTCCTTCAAATTAAAACTTACTACAAAGCTTAACTGAAATAACCTTTTCCTCTCCATCTATAAGCTTTCCTGATCTTTTGTCTATATTGGTCCTATCTCTGCCATTAGATTATAAGTTCTCTAAGTATAGGAATGGAGTTTTTCTCTGTTTAGTTCTCGTCATTCAACAAATATTTATTGAGCACCTGTTAAATGCCTATCCTAGGCAATGGAGAGATATAGGTAGATAGACAGACAGATATTGATAGATAAAGACATAGATATATAGATGTGTGAACGTAAAGAAGTGAAAGTCCCATGACCCAATTTCAACTGAGGTAACCACAGTTACCAATTCAAAAAGAGTTTCAGAATAGGTTTAAAAGCTTTCCTTTGAATAAATACAAGAAATTCTCATTATTGTAAGAAAATTGGTACCAGAAAACTGCCACTTAAAGTAACACATATAAAATGGGAATCAAAGTTTCATAGTAAATAGTGGAGGAAAAGGATTGATTGAGTCTTTAAAGTGAAATAAAAATATTACAAAAATAAATTTATATAAGCTTATAGTTAAAATTTAGTTTAAAATTTTAATATACTAACTCTGAGAACAAAGAATGAATCAAGTGTAATTTTTCCAACAAAATGGTAAGACAATGCAACTTTGATTATTGCAGCATGATCAAAAAATAATTTCTGCAAAAATATTTGAAGACTTCATCAAGTTTCTCAGGCCCCTCTCTCAATTCAAATTCAAATCATTTTCTTTGGAAGCACTTAGTCATGTTATTGTCCTCAATTTTTCCTTCAGTTGTTAATAGGTCTAACTCTCTGCCCATTTTTATTTGTCAATGGCTTTGTATGTGACTTAAGCAATTATCCAACATTACTGTCACTGACTTCTTGAAATCTTACATCTTTTACACAACTTCCAGTTTGTATTTTTTTCATTGTGTTGTTGAACATTTAATAATCATTAAGAGACTGATCAACAAAAATGCTGACAGCAAAGTAGAGGAGAAAGCTAATGTTAAGTTGGGAAAGACGTCTGCGTGAGGACTAATTTCATAAAGAGACAGTTCATCAGTGATTATCCTTACGTTTAAGACCACTTTTGCTTCTCAATACAACCTTTGGAACTTTGAGGCATTGGACTGAAAATTTAGATAAAACAGACATCCCTCCTACTATCCATCACAGCTTTCTGCAATGTTTGCTTCATTAACCAGCTGATATATGACTAAAATCAGGTCATTTTTTTAGAACATACTTACATTTCCCCATTTTCTTCTACAGCCTCCTAATTTTATATGCTTGCAAAAAGTTTATATTTCTAAAAGTATAATTCTACTAGAAAATTAAAATAGGACTACTGACATATAATTACCTACTTGAAAAACTCAAGAGAATAGATTTTAAAACTACAAAAACAATAAAGTATCAGTGAGGTGTCCCATTAAATAGAAGAAAACACTCAACAGTTTTCTTATAGATCCAAAACAACCAATTAGTAAATAAAATAGACAAATATCCCATCACATTACCAGCAAAAAAATATAAAATATCTAGAGAAAAACTTAAAAGTCAATGTGGAAATCAGTAATCTAAGCTTCCACCTTAACAAACCAGAAGAGCAAAATAAGCCCAAAGGAAGCAGAAGGAAGGCAATAATAAAGACAAGAGCAGAAACCAATGAAATCGAAAGCAGAGAAAAAAGAGAGAAAAATCAATGAAACAAAGGCTGGTTCTTTGAAAAGATCAATAAAACTGACAAACCTCTAGCTAGACTGACAAAAAAAGAAGACACAAATTACAAAAATACCAACATCAGGAATGAAACAGGGGTATCATGACAGATCCTGCAGACATTAAAAGCTCAATAAGGGAACACTACAACCAACTCTATACACATAAATTGGCAACCTAGAAGAAATGGATCAATTCTTTGAAAAGCACATACTACCAAAACTCACTCAATATGAAATAGATAATTTGAATAGCCCTATAACTCTTAAAGAAATTGAATTTGTAGTTTAAAAATTCCCAGAAAAGAAATACCCAGGCCCAGACGGTTTCACTGCTGAATTCCATCAAATGTTTAAGGAAGAATTAACTCCAATTCTACACAATCTCCTCCAGAAAATAAAAAAGGAAAAGACACTTCCTGACTCATTTTACAAGGCAAATATTACCCCGATCTCAAAACCAAAGACAGTACAAACAAAACACAGACCAATATCTATCATGAATATAAATGCAAAAACCCTCAACAAAATATTAGCAAGTAGAACCCAGCAAGGTATAAAAAGAATTATACACCAGGACCAAGCTGGGTTTATTCCAGGGATGCCAGACTAGTTCAATATTAGAAAACCAATATAGTCTACCATATTAACAGGCCAAAAAAAAGAATCATATCAATTGACACAGAAAAGGCCATTTGATGAATTTCAACATCTATTCTTGATAAAAACTCTCAGCAAACAAGGAATAGAGGGGAACTTCTTCAACTTGATAAAGCTACAGTGAACACTATACTTAACGGTAAAAGGCTAAATGCTTTCCCCTAAGACTAGGAACAAGGCAAGGACATCTGCACTCACCATTTGTGTGTGTGTATGTGTGTGCGTGTGTGTGTGTGTGTGAGGATGATTGGCCTTAAGCTAAGATCTGTTGCCAATCTTCCTCTTTTTGCTTGAGGAAAATTGTCGCTGAGCTAACATCTTTGCCAATCTTCCTCCATTTTATGCGGCCCCTGCTCTCACTATACTTATTCAAAATAATACTGGAAGTCCTAGCCAGCACAATACTGCTGGAAAAGCAAATAAAAAACATATAGATTGGAAAGGAACAACTAAAACTGTCCCTATTTGCAGGTGACATGATAACCTATATAGAAAATCCCAAGGAATCTACCAAAAAAAACTCCTAGAACTAATTAGTTTAGCAAGGTCATAGAATAGAAGATCAACATATGAAGAAATAATTGAAACAATCTGAAATTTTGAAAAAAAAGTTCTCATTGAGGAATAATTTATTCTCTATAGAAGAGAAATTGAGAGACTGCTGTCTTCTTTTTGTTTGCTTGTTTGTTTTTAAAGATTGGCACCTGAGCTAACATCTGTTGCCAATCTTTCTTTTTCCCCCTACTTCTTCTCCCCAAAGCCCCCCAGTACATAGTTGTATATTTTAGTTGTGGGTCCTTCTAGCTGTGGCAGGTAGGATGCCGCCTCACCGTGGCTTGACGAGCGGTGCCATGTCTGCACCCAGGATCCAAACTGGCGAAACCCTGGGCCACTGAAGCAGAGCGCGCGAACTTAACCACTCGGCTACAGGGCCAGCCCCAAGACATTGTTGTCTTGTTTAGGTTGAGATTGCAAATATTGTAGGTCCAACTTCCCTTCTGGAATCTACTCTAAAGAAATAATCTTGAAATGCAGAAAAATCTCAATGAATATAGATGTTCACTGCAACATGATTTACAGTGGTAAAAGACTGGAAACAATCGAATAGTGAACAATACCATTGTTACTTGCATGTGTCTTTCCCACACTAGTCACTATGTTCCTGAAGGTCAGAGACTCTATCAATCATGTCTGCTGCTATGTAGCTCCATGCCTAACACAGAGCAAGTGCTCACAGAAGATTTCTTTAACAAAAAAAAAGTCATTATGGAAAACCTAGATAAATAAAACTATAAAAGTCTACTCAGGAACACAAAAGAAAATTTCAATAAATGGACAACTATATCTTGTTCTTGAATAGGAAGGCTATTAGATGTCCATTCTTCCCCTAAAATAATCTATAATTTTAATTTAATTCCAGTCAAACCTCAAAAAGATTTTTTGGGAAGAAGCTCAAAAATTATTATAAAATTCATTTGAAACTAATGAACATTCAAAGATTGCCAGGAAAATTCTGAAAAAGCAGAGTAATGAGGAGTTCCTTGTCCTACCACATTAAAAAAAAAAAAACATTATAAATTCACTAATATC